CCTCGCCCCTCGCCACTCGCACCAAGCCTACTGCCCCTCGCCCAGCCTCCTTCGCCCCCCCACGCCTGTCGCCCATGCGGCGCCCTGCCCACGCACGTCTTCCTCGAACGTGCACTTCAACACCCGGCCGCGCACGAGCAGCTAAGATCGCAGTGAGAAGGGCGCTCACAACTTCAGAGAGAACGCGCCGCTGCAATAACGCGCACTGTCATATTGCCCTTGCTTTACAATGAAGTTTTAAAGGTCCTTGAAATGTGGCTGGTTGTCTGTAATCAAGCTTCTAAAGACAAGGAAACGTAGAGTTAATATTAACTCATTATTGCTTGAAGAAATTAACATAAAGTCAAACCTGACCTCATAATCCATAAGCTGCTCTTGCATTGCTGCCTTATGTTTCTGACCGTTCTGGGTAACGGATGGAAGGTGTTATTCATAGTTCGTTTTAGACTGGTTCAAATTAAATTTAACGAAAATCCATCTAGTTTCTATCTTGCATGAAAGAATAGTCGGCATTATTGTCTTGTTGACTTATGGTGGTCAACTTGACGTAGAAGTAACGCCTTCGTCGTAGAACGTTGGCTGTCGCAAAGAAAAACTTTGTTGACTCATCTCACCAACTTTAAGGCAACAGACAAAGTTTCCACAATCGTTCCTCATGTAGGATTCCGGCATGAAATGATTTGGTGATTAATAAAAAGTTTCAGATAATTAAACTGGTTCTTGGATTTTACGTGATAAGGAACTTTCAAAGCCTCAATTCCCCAATCAACCTTTCTCCTCTTCAGACCTAACATTCTGTACCTGAAGTGATCTGAATTGATGTTGTTGTTTCTCTCAATTATCAATTATTTTTACTCTTAATAATTAAATTTGTTCCATGAATTGTCACCTCGAGTAGGATTCAAAACCGAGTTTTCTGGTTTATACCCAATTGCTCTACAAATTGAGCCATCAAGACGTCCAAATCTTTGAACAATTTCAAGTCCTAAATAATGTTTGGTACTTAATTCTCAACTATTTTGTCTCAGTTTCAAATTTAAATTAATCATGCTTAATTAATTATCCCTTAAGACAACATGTTACAGATGCAAGTGACAACGGAAACACATTTATGAAAACTCTTTTTTCTAGGTGGTTCGCATGTTCATACTGGTGGTGTCGATATTCGCTCTGTGCTGGCTTCCGTACCACGGATACTTCATCTACGCTTATCACAATCAAGCAATCTCCACCAGCAGTTACGTGCAGCACCTGTACCTCGCCTTCTACTGGCTGGCTATGGCCAACGCTATGGTCAACCCTGTGATTTACTATTGGATGAACAGTAGGCAAGTTCCTTCTGTAGTGTTAGAATCGCTTATATATGTCTCACTATACTTAAGTTTCCATTTTCTACACAAAGTTAAAACAATGGAAAGTGAAAAGGCTTCATTTCACAGTATTTCTTGTCTGTAAAATGTGTCTGTATGCCCCGACCGGCCCCGAGGTGGTGTCCCGGTGGCTCAGGCTCTGTCTTCCTTGACGCAGAAGTAACAAAACTGTTGTGCGAAGCAGTGCATGCGTTGAAGTGCGGCTCGCGGGTGCGCAGGTTCCGGCTGTACTTCCAGCAGATCA